GGTTTTCAACCATTTTTGACCCAGCGATCCCCAAATGAAAAAAGATCTGAAGTAAGGACCCCCTACCACTAAATGTATGGGGTCTGGTGGAGCCCCTTTTAGTATTTTTTACATTTTGTGAATTGGGATGATAACTCCAGTATTTTGTTAATTTACAAAACATCTCTGCAGACCACTGCAACTGCTCTATGAAACTCAGCCCCCAGGGTGCAAATCCTCGGTGTATATTACAGGACATGCAATATACGTCGAAAGAAATAGAAATGTCGGTATCGCCATTTAAAAACATATGCGTGGATTATAGATTGTGATCATTGTGAGTCTTCAAAAAGGAGAAAAAAAAAACAGAGGTAACTGATTAGATGCAGCTGGGCTGAGCAGGAGGCCCCTGCTGGTCTGAATGTGAGCTGTCAGTCTCACGCTGAGGCACCTCTGTAAGTCTGAAGACAGCTTGTCACAAAGAGAATCTGGGGCCCTTCCTGAGCAGCGATGTGGTTCTCCCCAGCCCACGCGATCAAAACCCCGACCAGGGAAACTCTCATGCAGAAACAAATACGGATGCCCTTTCTCCAGCGCCTCTTGCAGACGTTCTGTCATTTATTTTTCTCCTGACATCCTACCTGCTTTTCTGAAGGTCATTATTGCCCATTGGCACGGCAATGCCGCAGAAATCCTAGAAATGTACGTGCGTTTCTGGGCAGCTATTTTCATTGTTGAAACTGAACTAGCATCCTAATAAAAATGTCAAAATGGATATGTTGATAACTACCAAACCCACCTTTAATGCCCTCCTCATCAGATATGAATTGTGAGACATTTCCAGTCGAGTTTACTTCTGTGTCCCTGGGGATATTTTACCTGAAGACGAGGATCAGACCATACCAGCAATAACAACGGCAGGAACAGCCTCCAGGACACATGTGTGCCCCAAGCGCAGGGTAACAAGTGCCCAGTACAGGGTGACAGCCCAGTTAAGGTCCTCAGTTCCCCATTCCCTCATTAGGGGAACAAAAGCCATCTGTGTCTTTTTGGTGAGGGGTTCCTATTCTGCCTCCCTTCCCCTTTAGACACGGTCACACCCTAATGAAAGGAGGATGAATGCTCCTTATTATCAGGCACAAAAAAAACAGTTACGCTGTCTAGTCATCACACAGAACTGAAAGAGCAGGTGTGATTCCATGCAATGTTTTTCACAAAAGCTTCTCAAATAATGCATAATGCATTCCATCCATCCATTGTCTGATCCACTGCAGCACTGCCTATTCCAGTAGAGACAGAATCACCTTCGAAGGGAACCCACGTAGGCCAAGTTTAATCTTTGCATTTGGGGAAGCAAAAAAACGTCTTGCTTACCTTATCTGTTAATGCATGTACACAATGCACACATTGCCTATAATAATGTCTATGGGTACCAACAAACCACTTTTGCAAAGGTGAAAATTGCCAGCAGAGAGCTAGTGCCATGCTGGTCTTGCCAATTAATTGGAATTTCAACTCTGGCAACCCCCACCGCCAAACTCATGGGAATCCTGTCTGTATCATGTGCCTCTAAATCACCCTGTATTTCCTGAGATATGCTTCAGATTCACGGTGACCATATAACTGATTACTAAATATTGAAGGATGGAATATATATATGACTTAAAGTCCACTGCAGTGAAAATGGCAAACAGTATGATTGTAATTTTAAGAAAGGTTGTCCTGCAGCCCCGTCTTACAGCTCAGCTGTCAGTGCAAACTCCTCAGCCCTGTTGGTAATTAGTAATCCTTCAAATGTGCTCTGCTGTCCAGCACAGAATTCAGCATAAGAAGCTGCATGTTTTTCGTCTTTTGGCATAAGTTCTATCTTTGCAAATCGTTTTGATTTTATGAAATTAAAAAAGGAAACAATATGTCACATGAACTACTTACAGCAAAATACAGTATGTATATCCTAAAATGAAATGTATGTAAAAATATGAGGTCTGTTGGATATAGACATTCATCCTGTATCCAAAATGTGAGCACTGAAGGTTCCGCATTACTGTTTTTGGTAATAAGCCACTAAAAATGACATCACGAGTCGGCATTGTCTCCAACAGACCCAGTCACATTTCAAATGCGTATTACAGTGCTTGGGTGCCAACAATGAGAAATTCACACGGAATGACAAACAATTAAACAACAAAAAAGCAAATGAAATAGATCAGACGATATGTGAGAAACAGATACACTGAGTGTCTGTGTTCCCTTAGAAAAACATAAATATTAGTACTAATTACAGTAGTACTAATATAAATCATTAATGGATTCACCCCACTGCACTGTTTATTGTCACTTAAGCTTCGTTACAAACCTCCTCCGATGATGACATCCCTCTGTGACTTTTGCTGTGTGTTTCATGACTAATCCTTGTATTTTATGATTATAAATCACGGTTGGTGACATTTTAGTAATTTATAAACACATTCATAACTAATAATAATGTATTCATAAAGAATTATAAACATGGCTATAAATATTTATCCAAAGCTATGACACATTATAGCCATGTTCATTACGCATTATGAATGCTTTATGAAGTTCCCTTCTATAATGCACTATAGATACCTTTATAATGCTGTACAACGCATCCTTAATTCATACAGTATATTGACCATTATAATGCATCATGAAGGTATTTATAGTTCATTATAAATGAGAGCTTCATAAAACATTCATAATGCATAATACACATGGTTAAAATGTTTTTGATACCAATCAGGCACACGCAGTTTGAACCCCCAAGTCTGAACCCTCCCTCCAGTTCCCAAAATGTACTGAGGGAACCCCCCCCCCCCACACACACACACACACACACACACACACAAATTGTGTTTTTAGCTATGGGCCTGTTACCATAGGTTACTGACACACTGGATGATGCTCCGAAGATTCAATAACCTGGCTCTGAGTCTCTGTTGACCTGCAACCACTGGCAGCTTCCTTCACGTACTCCGAATCCCCCCCCCCCCCACACACACACACTGAGGTCAGTTGGAGGTAACAGATTGTGCATGTGTGATTGAATAGTGTGAGTGTGGATGCCCTGTTATGGGTTGGCATCCCATCATTTGTTGTCCCCTGCCTTGTGCCTGTATGCTCTGAACCACCAACAATCCTGCATAGGACAAACAGTTACAGAAAATGGAGAGATGGATGACCAACTCACACGATCCATATTGCAGATGTGATCCAAGTTGTAGGTCTTAGTACAATGGAACATTAAGGAGGACTTGCTGTAAAATGTATTGCTTTGGACAAACTATGGTAAATGCTTTAACTCAGATGTAATTAATTGTATATCCATTCTACTTGTTTTGGGTTTCATTCCGTTCTCAATGCAGAACACAACATGCTAATGGCACGGTGAAGGGTTTCAAATTGCAAGGTAACAGAGTAACCAACAGATACTGGAGTAACTCCTGGAAGTGATTTCTCAGGGCTTTCACGGTCCTTAGAGTGCTGCACTGCGCAGACGGGACCTTCACTGGCAGCTCTCTCACATTAACGGCAGCCAAGCTGGAGCTCATATTGACGGAAAGGCCTGTGATGGGACCAGCCTCTGGCCTGCGGGTTTAACGTGCCAGCAGAGCAGCCCAGCCAAGCCCCGTCCAGCTCCCGCTTCCCACAATTCCATGGAACACAGCTCACTGGGAAAATGTCCTCTAGCAGAGCTTACTGCGAACAGCACATCTGATACTGTTTTCACGATGTTTAAAAAAACAAAAAACATATGAATGTAAGGATCCCATGTGGAACCTGGGGTTTGTGAGACCACAGCCTTCAGGTGAGTCTATGCAGCCTCAGCAGATGCACGGCGGCTTTGGGAATCGTCCCGCTTTACTTGGATTCCTCTTTTATGGAGAAGCTGTCTAAGTGATTCTGGGTCACCAGGAAAAATGTATTGATTCTGTGATGAATGTCTGTGTGCCAAATGGCGGCCCATCGAGTGTCCGTGTATGAGACTACCTGCAATCTCCCTTCTGCCTCTTTGGTTAGTACTGCATATAATGGTATAAATCATTTATATTGCATTAGACCAGGATCTTGATGAAGCAAATCAATAATGTTACAGCCTAAGCGTGAATGACCAAGCCTTAGAGAGCTTTACCAAGTGAAACTTACCCTGATATGTGTGGTATATAATATGACATGCAGACACAATATCTTATTACACTGAAACTGCAAATTTCAATGTAATTCTAATATAGTTGCAGAAATTCTAAAGTCAAAATCAAAATGACCAACTTTGCCAAGACTAAGAACTTGCATAAAGCTGCAAAGTCCTTTAACGTTTCTCCATATTTTGTTATTTAGATACATAATTTCATTTGAGTGACGCAATTTTCCCCAACATCTTATGAAACCACATTACTGAGGGTGTTATGTCTGGGTGACTGCAGTTTTAATCCATTATTATTTGTGTGCATCCATATTAAATTGGTTTTATTTATTACACCGGGAGTACTAAGCTTTTAGCATTACAGTTCGTGATGAAGCACTCACCACAATATGCCGGGCATATAAAAATACGTCCTGCCTATTGCACTTTGGCATAATGCAGCGCCTTCTAATTAGTTTTGAAGGCTCTTTAAATTTGACATTTGACAGGATAATTGTTTGTCTTTTAATCCTGTACCAACGACCGGGGAACATCCACAATAAAGTGTTCATATCGGCCTACTCTTTGTTTGATTCGTATTTTATTATATCGGTATTGTTTTATTTGGCCTTGAATCTGATTTCACATAATAATAATAATAATAATAATAATAATAATAATAGATATTTACAAATGCTTTTCTGGTTAGAGTATTCCTAAGTTGCACCTACAGTAGAATGCTGTAGCGCAGCTTTGGCTCTTGCACGGCATTTCCGAGTCATCGTTCTCAGCGCTGTAGACATTAGGACCCCGCAGACTGTGGGAGTGGTGAATCTCGCTCAGGGTCCCCTATACCTCCCTGCCAGTACTACTCATTCCGCGACCGGAGATCATTGCTGCTGCTTTTCTAACCCTGGAACTGACCTGGGACAGGTGCTAGATTCTGACTTTGAGACGCAATCCTACAGATTGCCCGTCTGGATGGCGTGTCCACATTGCACACCTACCATGCAACACATTTAGATTTTTGGGGGTCTTTTTTGGAGAAACTCTTGCCCACTTTCCATGTTGCTGGTAGCTTGCGAGTAGTTTCTTGTGGCTCCTCCATCGATTTATTATTGATATTTTTTTTCGTCTTTCCTACATTAACTCTTCGGGGTACTTCGACTGCCCGGCACTCATGAATTCGGATATTAATATATACCTCGGCCGAGAGAAGTCAAATATTATGAGAAAGAGAGCGCTTATGCTGCGGAAGGGATGCAGCTTTGAAATAACGAGGTAGGTACATTGACTTTTGATATACTACAGTTTTCTTAAAATTCGACTTCACTGTGTAATCGCATATATATACATTGACTAAAAATCGATGGAAACGATAATCATGCACCGACCGGTAACACTTTCTCGTTGCATGTTATTGCGGTATTGTGTGTATTCGGTGCTGCTCCCGTAGTGATGGGGGTGACGGTGTCTTAAGCTATGCTTTAGAAGAAAGCGGCGCTTTTATTGTGTGAGATCGGAGTTCCCATGCCGCTGATCCGCAGATCCACCTTCGATCCCTTTAATCAGCTGAACCCTTTTCTCCGTGAGCACTGTGTTCTTACTACTGAGCCTGACGGAACCGTGTTTCCAATCAGCGCCTGCACCGTGAATCCAGGTACCAGCATCGGGACATGCTGAGCACAGACACCTTAACTTACGGCTAAGTGTTTGTTTTGTGCAGGCGGTAGCAGGCAGCTGGGAAATTAATGAAAAACATTTTTTCCCGTATTATTCGTCTTCTCTTTAACGGACGAAGGAATCACATTGTAATACCTAAGTTATATTTATTAGTGTATTCGACTGTAAAACGGAAGTGAAATTGGTTGTGGGTCATGAAATGGAAGAAAAACGGTCTCCACTTTACAATTTCTCGCATTTAGGTAAGCGCATCCCTCGGGCTTGTATAACATTTATTGCGGCGGGTTGCCGGCGAGGTATGAACTGTGACCGGGGAGAGAGGCTGCGCTTTTCGGTATCCATGCGGAGCCAGGCACGTAATAAACCTCGGGTGGGATTAAAATATGACCCGCCCTCATAGTAACATCCCGGGCTGTTCACTTTACTGCTGTGATTTACTCTAGCTTACTTAAATAAATGCATTTATTATACGTATAAACGTCCACCGCTTCAGTTTCTTTTATCATACCTCGCCCATCTTAGCTGCATCCCGTTTCTGTCAGATCAGCTCTCTCACAGCCTCTAGATGGAAGCACCGTTTCGCTGTATGCATGTGGAAACGTTACAAATTTTGGAATAAAAATAGTTTTTTTTTTTTACAGGGTTTCTGTATCTTTTTGGTTTTAGGGCGGTTATTAGTTTAATGCTTTCACATGTATAGATGGGTTTGGTTAACCATTTATAATTTGCAAAAATACTTTTTTAGACTGATAGACTGCAGGGTTTTGGTCATTGTGGCTATGTTTTCTTGCTTTTGTGTAGGCAGATGTTATATAAAACAGTTTATATATATACACACGCACAATTTGACACGTGGTAATAATTTCATTCGGCTCGTGTATGTGCTGACATCCACTTGGACGTATTCAGGACTGTGTGACTCGTATCTGGCCTCTTTTCTGGCTGTTAATGTTTAGAGAAGCTGGGGACAACCAGGGTAACGAAATTGTACTTTAAATGAGGACACAACATGGCAGATGCTGTAAATAATATGTAGATTTATTATTAATGTACAGCATTGACTGTCTTGCTCACGGAATTAAATCACAAATCAGTTACTGGAAAGAAAATGTTTACACCTAAGGAAGATATTCAACGTCTTGAAAAGGAATGCAATGAAATGAAAGGGGACTGCTTGGTTACATGTGTTTGTGTTGTGCTGTCGGTGTAACACATGGACTCAGGCTGGACTGTGTTCATCTGTGTGCCATTCTGCAGGAGTGGGGGTGTAGCATCAAATTGGCTGCTATTTTTATCCTTGCTTGGGAAATTCACTACAGATTTTATGCTTTGATGGCTTAAAAATTGTATTTTTAACAAATGAGCCAAAGGCTTGACATTTACTGCAAATATCAATGGGTGTGGCATAGTGGACTCTGGGTAATGTGGAATATCCCTGTAATGTGGAAATGAAATCCAGGCCTATTTGTAAAAAAAAAGCTGTCAAACTGTTTCTTAATCAGCCCTTTTTTGACATGCATGGTTCCAACAAGCTGTAAATACAATGATAAGGCTACAGGGTGATTTAAAAAAATTTTTTTTTGCAATAAAGCAATTTTTTGTTTTGCAATAAAGCAACATCTAATATTTTCACAATGAATAGTGAAATGTCTTTGTAAAAAAGAAAGTGGGGCGAATTGTGATGAAGGTCCGTCTGAATTATTCCTAGATTTTAATTTGATAAAAAGCGCATGTACAAGAAAAAGGCCAATATTTCATGTCAGACTGACATTATTGTATTTACTAGAATTTATAGTTGTAGAGTCAAGCACATGTTCTGGGTTAGTATTAAAAGGATGTGATTCATTAGGGTTGCGAGATGGTAATTATTGACTTTTTTTGGTTTGGCTATCCAGCTACACAGCAATGTGATGTTTTAGTAAAATGAACTAAACTCCCAAGTGGGAATCCCATGTAATGGCTTTGAGTCCAGTGGTGTGATGTGTCATCATGTCACTATCACGTGGCTACATGTTGAGTGTGTTAATGAAAAAGTACAGCGGTTAGTTACATTTTTTCGCTGCTACAAAGAAAAAACAAACTTTCACCATCTAAATTTCTCTAGTTAAGTAGAGATGCAGCTATTTGAAAAATGGAAGCGAAGTTAAAATGTGAAAATCAGATTTTTTTTTTTGATATTTGTTATGGTTTTGGTGTGTGTTGTGAAACATTTATTTGATTTGTTGGTAACAAATTAGCGGAAAACAACATGATGTCATACAGTAATTAAAGTCAGGGCTCATTTAGTCAATGAGTGAAGCAGCACTGGTCTGTTGAGGGGTCTGTCTGCGCCAAAATACGCTCCTCGGAGAGCTGCCCTGGGTCGAACCTCCTGGGATTTGTTCAAGGAGCCCGACTACCCTGGCACATCATCTTGGCGCGAGATGTTTTGGAGGGAACCACGCTCAGCTGCAGGCTGATTGGTTGCCTGTGGGTTAAGATGCACACTGTATGCATGACAAAGAGACTACACTTTCACTACAGTGAATTACAAATAAAAAATCAAGCTTTTACTGTATGTGTATATGGCATAATACATTGTTTATATGTCATGCTATGAAGTCGACTGATTTGTACAAAAATATCAGATATAATGATAATCATGAGAGTTTATTGATCCGCTTGGGATAGTTCTCTTCTCGCCTACCCTGTCCTGATCTCCATGACACAGACACACGTAGGTGAGAGCAAGCTTGGCAGTGAAGGGCAGCCACCGGCAGAGGTGCCCATGGAGCTGGGGGTTAATGGCCTTGCTCTGGAGCCCACAGACGTGACTCTTCTGCTGAGGCCAGACTGGTGACCTTCCTATCACAGGCTGAGCCACACGCTGACCCCCTACCGTAAATGTAGGATATAATGCTGTTTAAAATGTTATCCTGAAAGTGAACATTGGAAATTTTCAGGCTTCTTTCCCTTATTCTATCAATTTATCATCCCTTGAGTAAAATGATCATTAATGAAATTAACACTATATATGAATAAATTGGGTCCACTATATGAATCTGTTTTCCCATTGTAATTATATAATTAAATTAGTGGCAAACAATAATGTGTGAGGCAGTTTTAGGAGGCAAAGCTGTGGTTGTGTTACTTGCTAATTCATTCCTATATTATGGAACAAAACTGTCTGTTCTGCTCTGCTTTGGTTATCCCATGTTTGGGTTTGCCGTTTGCACGTGTAGCTCAGGGCAGGTGGGATTTTCTGGGATTTCTAAGGATTAGCAGAGCCTGCGCTCTTTGAACTCCCAAAATGTCTTTTTAAACATACTGTAAGCAGATTTAGTTAGCAGCTCCCCTTATGTAAACATGGAGAAGTATGCAATTTGGAAGTACGTGCGCATATGTGTCTTTATTTTTGTGAAAATGTTTGTGCACCTGGGTGCTCGCTAAATTACGAAATCCTTTTGAAGTCAAGAACCGCATTCTTTTTATCTTCTCTGAGTGCTGCATGCATGAGGATATTCCAGCATTTTGTGACCAGGAAAACGTACACGTGATGACTGAGGAAGGGTGTAGTCATGCAGAGCATATAGAAACGAGGCCGTAATCGTCATAGAGATGCAGAAAAGACTGCCTTATATTGTAATTGCAGAGCCACTTGTTATGCATGTCGCCTGTATGCATCATCCGCTGTATAACTATGCTCGGCTTCTTGTTCATTCATCCTGCTTGATCTGTGCTGAGGATACTTGAGGCCGTCCTGGAGGATGTCACTGCATGAAGGCAGCTCGATGCGGCTCATCATCCCCTCTGCGTGTGACCCTCACGCCTCCGGCTACCAGGCATCATCCTGCCAAGAGCTGCTGGGATATCGCTGCACATCCCGTATTGCCTTTAAGGAGACCATCTGCACGCTCGTGTCTGCAGCTAGCTCCGCCCACGCCGCTGGGCCTCCCAGCTCAAGAGCGTGGCTCGTTAATATTTAAATCAAGCCGGTATCTCAATTTTAACTCTCATTTGTAGTTATGTCGGATGTGAGTTACACTTCAGGCGTGTTTGCTGTAGCCTGTGTTCATCTGAGGAACCAGGACAGGCGTGAATAAATAGACGGCCTGACAGAGCCGCCCGTCTGCATGATGTGTTACCTGCCTGCTGCGCTCCTGATCAATAAGGAGTGGTCCCAAAGACAGAGAGATGACATTTCGGAAAGCAAGCTTTTTTTATTATGTATGAAGGATATTTGGTGTAACGTGTGCGGGCATGCAGTGAATTATGGGATCTAAAATAATGATTCACCTGCAAAATATTAGGCAGGCAGTGCAGACCCTCACTTAGTGTCCATTTCAGTAGGTGCACCTGCTTGTTAACGCAAACAGCCTGCTCCCACAAACAGCGTGTCGTATGTAGATGTATTTTGTTGATCTCGGGGGAAATTCGTTTGCAAGCTAAGGAACATGAAGTGCACGGATACAATCATCTAAAACACATAATATGTTAAGTGTCTGATTCATGCAGTATGTCTGATACAATGCACATGTATGTAGATGTGCATAATGTTGTTTTACTGTCTTGGCATGTATTATGGCTGGGGGCGAAGGCCGACCTCCCAGTAGGGCTTC